ATATGGAGTTACACTCTAAACGGAAAGTAACATGGTTCAAATCCACCAGATGGTCCATGGGAGAAAGATGGGCAATCTCTTCCTGTGTTTTCACAATTCATCTATATTGTAGCATGTACCAGTACTTCGCTGTTCTTTCTGGCTTAGAAAAATGGATCCATGTAGCACATTATGCTTATCTGTTCATCTGTATGTAACATGGAGAACATAACCAAAAGGTCAGCAGTTTGAATCCACTAGTTGCTGCATGGAAGAAAGATGGGCAATCTCCTCCTGTAAAGATTTACAACCTCCCAAACTCTCATGTCAGACCTGCTTTTTAACAGTGGCACTATGCAATGCTATGCAATATTTGTCCTTTTGTGACTGAGGTAGTTCACTCAGCATAATGTCCTACAATGAATGAATATTTAAAACAAACACACAAAAAAAGTGAGCAGGGAGAGGGAGAAGGAAAGGAGGGGAATTAAAAATGTGCAACAATGAGTGAATGAAAATCTAACTTTGATGTAAAAGGTTTTTTTGTTAAAATTACAATAAAAAATTTATTAAAACAAGATGTATAACTTTGGAAGCATGATGAAGTGCTCCCATGACTCTACATCAATTCACTGGCCATGGGTTTGGGATTGGTTTGGTTTAGTTTTTTCATTTGCTGATGAACATTTCGGTTACTCCCACCACAATGAGGAGGGCTACAATGCCATTTCCCCACTGCCATCCTCTCACATAATAAAAACAAGCCAACTAAAGCTGATAAGTCCCTCTGCTTTAGCTCCTCTATTTTAAGGGAATGCTCACTTGAATGCAAATGATCTCATTCTAAACAGTCAACTGGATGACATTAACCTCTGAAAAGGCTAATTTCGTGAGCACTTTCAGCAAAGCAAACACACGCAGAGAAGGTCTGTGGTGGTCACTTTCTTTACGTCTCAGTCACCACAATCGTGCCCTTTGGTAGTTCTCAGTGTAGATTTGCCATTACGGCCAATTACGTGTCTCACGTGGTGAGGAAGGGCTAGCAGAGCAAGCAGCACATCATGTGTATTTATAGCCCACAGAAGGAAAATCATTCTTGTGGGGAGGAAAAAACCCCAACCCCTTCCTGTCATAAATAGGAAAGTGTATCAGTCAGTTAGACTTAAGTTAAAATTATGTGTTCTTGTCCCCGACCTCATATTTCAATAAAAAGTTTGGAAAGCAGTAGTTAGGCAGTTTGATGGCAGATAAATAGTATACCTCTTGCTCATTATTGAAAGCATTCATTAAAGATTTAAAGCATCATAAGGCCCTTTATGGAAAGCGTGACTGGTCCCTGGATCTTCTCATTCCATGGTCATTGCTGAATCGGGAAGCGACATATTTCACGTCTCAATTGAGAGTGCATTCGAAAATCAAAATTCAACATCATGCCTTCTAGCAGGCTGAGTGATGGGAACGGGTTGTGATTACGCCTCATTTTCACCCTCCGCATCCCGATCCCATTGATTATGTTTCTCAGCTTGCTAAGGGTTCTGGGAGGTGATTTTCAAGATGAATATTGCTATTTGCCGGATTTCCTGAATAGGAATATTTCTGGAGCAAATTGCACAAACCAAGCGATGTGCAGTCAATTTTCACTCCAGCATAAACAATGTATTAGTACAGAGCCCTTAAGGCTTTTTTTTAAGGTTTCATTACACAGCTAGCTGCATTTCATCAAGAAGCATGAAGTGCCAAGAAGGCAAAACTGAGGCTCACACACGGTGTTATTACATAGTTTTCTAACAGGTGCTCAGAGATTGACTTGGGAAGACAAATGAACCAGGTGGTAAGGCCTTAGGCCCTTTGTTTCAGAGGCACCATGGCCTCCATGATCAGACCCACCAACCCCACAAAAAATGTCTTTGAAATTAATAAAAGCAAGTAGGAGCCTGGTTGCTTGCACATCTATTTTCTTTGCATTAACACATCCTTTTTTTTTTTTTAGGGGGAGTTGGGGGTCTTAGACTTTCTTTCCATACTGGTTTTTTTTTTATTGTTTTCCATGATTATAGCACAGGAGGACACCAACCCCATGCAGATGGTGGGGCACACCAGTCATTCTGTCCTCAGATGGGGAACTCAATTATGAATTATGGAGCCTTCGCAGGGGCCTGGACACCGTTAGGGGCCTGACTTGGAGCAGGAGCTTGAGTGGAGGCCTTAGCTGGCGCCTAGGTTGAGGCCTTGGCTGGTGCATGGGCTGGAGCCTTGGCTGGTGCCTGAGTTGAGGACTTTGCTGGAGCTTCAGCCTTACTGTCAGCCTTGGCTTTGGATTTTGGCCAGTTAAGCCTGAACCCCTTGGCCATGCCGGCCCGAGCATGCTTCCTAAGCCTGGGATGGGTGATGTAGGCGAGTCAGCTGAGCTTGCAGTTGCCACCCCTTGGGATCCTGGGCTTGACGTCTTTGGGTGTGACAAGAGGCTTCACAACCTGGGCATGTTTATCCATGGCCTTGGTGTTGCTGGCCTGCATCTTCTTTAGACCCTTGTTGTTGTGCTTCTTGGCAAAGTGCATGTTCCTGTGGAATTTGGGGGTTACCCCCTTAAGAGACTCATATTGTTGTGATCTGGGTTTCTTGATGCCATTCCTGTGCCATTTTGCGGGCTGGTTGTGTGTGGCATGGTTCTTGCACTGTGGCCTCAGCTCCCAGAACACTCGAGTCTTAATTTTTTAAACAACATTTCTGTTTCTCTGGTAAATAGGCGAGCTCTCCACCAACCCATTTAAAGCCTTTCTTTTTGCTTCCCAGGAGGCTCAAGTGAAGTCACCATGAGCTGTAAGCCACTTAGTGTTAACAGACAACACCAGTAAAGCTGAGTCGAGCAAAGTCCCATTTTCCCATCTTATTTTAACTGTTAAAGAAAGAAAAAAGCTAAAGTTCTTTTAGCAGACACTACGACACGCTGTAAAGACTATATCACATAACTCATGGCAGGAGAACTTACTAAATCATTTATTAGCCAGTGAAGAGAGGCATAAGCTAGACAAAGGAGGATAAAGAACCAGGTAAGTTTGTGAATTATTCACGCAGGTCATCACATACTGAGAATCATGGAGTGGGGGAGATCCTCTTGAGCCATCTTCTATATGAATTGATATCTTTTTTATGTCATGGATACAGCCATAAGTTACTTCCTTTCCAGCTAATGCTGATTCACAGCAACCCCAGACAACAGAGTGTTGCTGTTATGTACCACTGAGTCAGAACTGACCCTCCAGAGGGTTTGCAGAGACAGTTAATCACCCATGATGAGACTGTCTAGCCGTCATCCTTCGTGGATCAGCTGGTGGATTTGAACTGTGTGCCTTTGGGACTGTAGTGCAGTTTCTTACCACTAGGCCCCCAGAGCTCCCTATATGACAGACCAGGACTGTCCAATAGGGTTGCCAAAGCTGTCATGTCTATGGAAGCAGACTAACTCATCAGTCTTTCTTCCACAGAGCAACTTGGGGAGTTTGAGCTATCGGACTGCTAGTTACCAGCTGAGCTCTTAACCACTGTGCCACTAAGCGTTCTGGATAAAGCAGAAGCAAATAAGCAGCAGAGGAGGATTTAAAAAAAAAAAAAAAGATGATGATGAAGAAGTCTATAGGAGTATTTTTTTAAAAAAAAAATCCACACTCCAGTGATAAAAAACTCCAAATATGCACAGAGGGCTGAAGCTCAAGGAGATTTTACTGCCAGGGTAAAAAAGCAGCTGCTTCTCTGCTAGTGATTTAGCTCAAGCTGCAGGAGGCAAATATCATGGCTCTTGGAAACTATACAGAACTGTGACTTGTAGCTTTGATAAAGCAAAATGATTAACACAGCTGAGAGCAGCTTGTTCTCCAAACTGTAGGGACCCTACGGGGCCCTGGACAAACTGAGACCCACTCTGAGAGGCAGAGACAGGGAACTAACGGCACTTTGGTTGAGTCAACAACACCCACGCACACCAGGAGACTTTTGTTATCTTTCCTCTCAAATATAGTCCATGTGCAAAGACAGAATTTTAATCCATTTTTCATTGTGATAAAGAAGAGGCATATTTTGGCCAGTGTCTGTCTTTAAAAGTAGAAGAATGGGCTTTTCCCACAGAACCACAAACAGCTCCTTCCTGGTAACATGCTTACAACCTTTCCTCCATGCACTATTAACTCAAGGAATTGTGAAGATTAGAGCTGAGAACCCCGCTGAAGTTACTAGGTTCTGGATCAAGAAAACTACACAACATTGTTGAGACTGTGTATTGAATAATGGAGGGGGGGGAGGAATCCATATTGATGAGGTATAGCTGTACTGCATAAGAAGATCCAGACACAGCCTTTTGAAGACAATTCATGTAATGCTGTTAGCTGTCTTTAAGTGGCTCTATATATAACAGGGTTGGAATACTGTGCTCCGTATGGCTTTCTTTGGTGGGCTGAGTTTTTGGGAAGTAGACCATCAGGGGATTCTTCCATGTCTATTTCAGTCCGGAATCTCTGCTGAAATTCGTACACAGCAACATGCAAGCCTCTACTGAGAGATGGGCCATGGTTGTAGCTTCGAGTTGGAACTGACCCATAGCTGACCCTCAAGTGGGGTTTACGGAGGCAGTAAATGTCACAGGCTGAAACTGCCCATATTTCTCCCACAAAGTCACTGGTGGATATGAACCACTTCGCCTTTAGGTTGGCAGAACAATTCCTTACCATTGGGCCTTCGGAGTTCTCTACAGAGACCTCAGAGGATGGGCTAAAATGTTCCATCGTGTTTCTGAGGCTGTTGATCCTAAAACAATCAGACTACCTTATCGTTTTCTTGTACACTGGTTGGAGGAGTTCAACCACCTGGTTCGCTGCCCAGTATGCCACCCTCTGAGCCTCCAGGGCTTCACAGTGAGTGCCCAGATGGATGGAAAAGCTGAAGGGCCCCCAAAGCAAGGAGAAAACACAAGAAACACAGGTCAGTTACACTGCCATATTTTTCGAAAATAGTGAAAGCAAAGTCTGTACCTTGATGTCAAATGGTCCGGTTTGACTCGGTTCACTACAAATTTCTAGCTGATTCCTAATTGGAGACAGCCACAAAAGCAGACGGTTTAACTGCTCTTCAAACTGCCCAAGGTCCTTTACGTGAGCCTCAATTTCTTTCTGCTTTTCAGGTAAATCTTTAGAAACCTGGTATGGGGGGAAAAATTATGGCATAAGTTTCTCATGGTGAGGAGAGGAAAGGAAAAAGAAATACTTTCAAATTAATTTCTTAGGACATGTTGATAAAATGTTTGGACATTTACTTATTTCAGAATTAGAACAGTATTGGATTTCATCATGTACATATTTTATATTAGAATGTAATAACTGTATTCAAAATTGTTCATTTATCCTCACACACCAAAAAGCCAGACATCATAGGTATCTAATGCTTATATGAAAATTCCAACACATACATACAAATGAACACTCAACTCATTCAAGGAAAATACGTTTTTCACCCATCCCTTTACTTACTAAGTAATTTATAATGTAAGTTAAACATTCTACTATATGATTATAAAAAGAAAAAAGTACATATCATTCACTATCACTATCATTTAATTGATCTAAATCTGAAATGACTCATAGTCATGTTCAAAGAACAGCATAACATTCAGACTAAACCAAATTACAACTTGTGTTTACTTAGAAACTAGTTTCTTCCAATATATTGTATCTAACTCTCTTTTATGGGAAGCTTAACCAAGGAATACTGGTGAGATAAGCATTTTGTGAACTAGCATTTGTGAGCCCTCATATAATGCAATGAAGCGGGGGGGGGGGGGGGGGGGGGGGGGAAGAGACCAAACCTGGAATGAAAGGATGTTTGAATTTGAGTGGAATACAGCAAAATTGTATTACATTAGGGAAGTCTGCTGTTAGAGACCTCTACAGCAAAATTGTATTACGTTAGGGAAGTCTGCTGTTAGAGACCTCTCCAAAGTACAGAAAATCAACGATGTCAGTCTAGAGGCTAAGGTGTGCCTGATACAGGCCATGGTCTTTGCAATTACTTACTAGGGATGATAGAAAGAGAACTGATGCCTGAGAGCTGTGGTGAAGAAGAGTATTGACTATACCAAGGACTACTAAGAAAACGAACAGCTTCATCCTTGAGAGGGTTAAACTAATCTGCTCCTTGGAGGCAAGGATTCTGAAGCTTCGTCTGACATCCTTTGGACATATTGCAAGGAGGGACCAGTCCTTGGAGAGGGACATCATGCTTGGGAGGGTGGAGGGACGGCGCAGGAGAAGACTCTCTATGAGATGGATTAATTCAGTGACTAGGGTAATGGGGGGCTGTTAGAGACAATAAGATTGACAAAGGATAGAGCTGGGTTTAGGGCTGTTGTACATAGGGTCATTATGAGTTGCAGGTGACTTGATGGCACATAACAACCACAACATAGCAAAATCCAGAATATTAGATTCTTGTTCATTGGGTTACTATGAGTCATGGGCAACACGATGGCATCTAACTACAAGAACATAGAAAATTGACTATAGGTTGTTATAAGCTTAGTATTTGCCCAGTACCATATCTGGATGTTTCATGTTTATTATCTTTTGTAGTCAACTCAATGTCACCTTAATGTTGCTATGGTTATTTGTTGTTGCTGTTATGTGTCATCGAGTTGCCTATGACTCATAGCAACCCTATGCACATTAACTCTGAAAGAGGCCCCATCCTGAGCCAATCTCAGCACCTCCAACAGACTTAATTCTATTTCTCCAGTCACAGAGTAACCTATCTCATTCTGGGTCTTCCTCTTCTGTGCTGTCCCTCCACCTTCCCAAGCATGATGTTCCTCCCCAAGGACTGCTCCCTCTTGGCCACATGTCCAGAGTATGTGAGATGGAGCCTCACAATCCTTGCCTCCAGGGAACAAACTGCTTACACCCTCTCCAGGACAGGCCTGTTTGTTCTCCTGGTAGTCCATGGTATGTCCAAAACTCTTCTCCAGCATCAACAGTCTTGGCACCATCAGTCAAGAAATCAAAGGAAGATCAATGGGAAATCAATGGGAAAATCTGCTGTCAGGGACCTCCCTAGAGTACTGAAGAACAACGATGTCAGTCTGGAGACTAATGTGCACTTGATCCAGGCCATAGTATTCACAATTACTTGCTGTACATTAGAGAGCTGGACAATAACTAAGGATGATAAAAGGATCAATACCTTTGGGTTGTGATGCTGTTGTTAGGTATTGTCAAGTAAAGTACAACTCATAGCGACTCTGTGAATAGCTGATCTGAACCCTGACCTATCCTCTGCCATCATCATCCTCTCTGACACAGATGAGCCCGTTGCTGAAGTCATTGTGTTGATCCATCTTGTTCTGGGTCTTCTCCTTTGTTGACCCTCCACCTTTCCAAGCATGATGTTCCTTTCCAAAGAATACCCTCACTTAGGTACATGTCCTAAGAATGAAAGACGAAGCTTTATAATCTTTGCCTCCAAGGAGCACTCTGGCTTCACCGTCTCCAAGACATATTTGTCTGTTCTTTTGGAAGTCCATGGGATATTCAGTACTCTTTTCCAACACCACAACTCAAAGGCATCAATTTTTCTTCTGTCATCCTTGTTCACGGTCTATCTCTCTGATGCAAAGCTGTGGAAATAGAAAACTATCACCTGAATCAGGCACTCATTCATCTTCAAACTGATATCATCGATCATCAGTATTTTATAGAGGCCCTTGACAGAAAACTTGTCCAATGCAATACATCTCCTGGTTTCTTGACTGCTGGTGATTGTTGATTCAAGGAAGATGAAATCATAGACTGTTTTAATCTTTTCTCTATCTGTTATGATGCTGCCTATCAGTTCAGTGGTGAGAATTTTTTGTTTACTTGACGGTGAGATGTAATTCATCTTGAAGCCTATATTCTTTTGTCTTCTGCAACAAATGATTCAAGTCCTCCTCACTTTGAGCAATCAAAGTTGTGTCATATGCATAATGCAGGGGTTGGTTTTTGTTGTTTTATTTTTTTCATTTGTCTTCCTATAATCCTGATGCTACACTGTTCTTCAAAGAGTTTTCACTTTGTGAATTATTCCTCAGCACACAGCCTGAATAGGTATGAAAAAAAGATACAGAACTCATGCACACTCTTCCTGAATTTATTTGGAGATAAACATATTTTATCTACATACTATATATATTTATATATTATATATAAATATATTTAATTATATATTCATATTTCAATTTTTCTATTTTCTTTTTTCTTTGCATATTTTCTTCCCCCTTCTCTCCTGATTTTAAATTATGCATTGGAAAGTTCCCTTGCTTAGTGTGGACAACAGCTTCTTGGTCTATGTATAGATTTTGTATTAGCACAAGTGTTCTGAGATTCTCATTCTTCTCAATGCAGCCATAATTTGTGATGACCCACACAGTCAAATGCCTTTGCATAGTCAATAAAGCTTAAACATACATTCTTCTGGGGTTCTTTACTTTCAGTCACGATCCATCTGACATCAGCAGTGATATCACTGGTGCCACAGCCTCTTCCAAATCCTCCTTGAACTTCTGACAGTTCCCTATCTATGTACTGTTCTAGCCATTTTGAAATAATCTTCAGTAATATTTTACTTGCATATGATATTAAAGATATTATTTGATAATTTCTGCATTTTGTTGGATCATCTTTCTTGGGAATGGGGACAAATATAGACCAGTTCCAGTCAGTTGGCTAGGTAGCTGTCTTCCAAATTTCTTGGCCTAAATTGGTGAGCACATCCATTCTATCTCAGTTGAATTTAAGAATTATTTAAAGAATAGGTTCAATGATAGAAGACCAGAAGAACTGTGGGAGGACACTGAGAATCTCATCCACAAAGAGAGCAAAACGTCATTACAAAGGAGGAGGAGGAAGAATAAAAAACTGAAATGGATGTCAGAGGAGACTATGAAAAATGCATTAGAGAGTCATGAACCCAAAACAAAAGGAAGAGATAAATACAAGAAGGAAACGAGGGGGGAAGGAAAGAAAAAGAGGAAGCTCAAGGAGATAAAGCAAAGTAATTATAAATAAAGCTGAATATTATAATGGAATGTGCAGAGAGCTGGAGTCAAAAAATAAAAAGGTCACATGGTTTGATGGGTGGAGGGGTTGGGGAGGTGTGGGGGATTCCGTGTGAGGTGAAATGTATACAAAACTTTGTAGGTAAACCATTGCAAGATTTTTTCCAGTCTAAGATTTTTATAAAAATGAATTGTAAGAAATTTTTAAAAAAGTAATAAAAAGGGAAGAACTTACACAGCATTTATCAAGCTGAAGGAATTAAAGAACAAATTCAAGCCTTGAGTTGCAATACTGAGAAATGCTTAGGGACACAATTATAATGATCCAGGAATCATTCAAAGAAGATGGGACAAATACACATAACCACTGTACCAAAAGGTTGACATTCAAAAATTTCAGAAAGTACCATGTGAATAGGAACCAATGATAATGAAGGAAGATGTTGAATCTACAGTGACGGCATTAACAAAAAATAAGGCCCCAGGGATTGATAGGGTACCACTTGCAATGTTCCAACTAACTTTCATCTTAACAGATGTGCTTATTACTATCTTGATTTTATACACAGATTTCTGATGTTGTAATGTGCTATCAAGCTGGCTCATAGTGACCTTAGGAACAACAGAGCCGAACCTTGTCCTATTTTGCACCATCCTCACTTGATCTACTCAAGGCCATCGTTATAAACACTATGTCAATCCATCTTCTGGAAGATCTTCCTCTCTTTGACCCTCCATCTTTCCCACTCTCTGTATTTTTCCTAGGACTGGCCTCTCCTGACAACATATCCAAAATATTAAGGTAAAGTTTCACCCTCTTTGCTCCTAAGGAGGATGACCCTCATACTGAGAAGTGTTAAATAACATGGGAAGCAGTATGACATTATGTTAGAGACTGTGGACTCTAGAGTTAACTAACATCCATGGGTAATGCAAACAGGGAACTTACTTAACTGCTCACCAAAAGCTGGTTCCTGTCTACCCAGAGGAAAGACCTATTGACATTCTTCTGATAAACATCTCTCTAAAACTGCGACGGAGCAAAGGCCCTACACTCTGGCACACATGGAGTTGACTAGACTGCAACTGGTATAAAGTTTATATGCT